ATCAGTTAACAGACTAGGATTTTTAAAAGAATACGGCAGAGGTTAAAGCATTTACAAGGCTGGCAGCTTCATTGTTTTTCTTGTTAAAGAACAAATTCCATTTAATGTCCTTTTTCCAAACCACAGCACCATGATTGTCTGTGTATGTTTAGTATGACAGAATCAGTAGGAAACCGTTGTTTATGCATGTACAGACCATACTAACATGTGGTGTCTTTGTGTCTCTAAGGTAAATAAACGCAATGGAGCTGAAACTTTTATTGAAGAAGCTGGGCACAATAATCCGCGTCGTTCTCACGTTCCTCTTTGCTCTGTTGGTCGTGGGTGTGATGGTGTGGGCTTATGTCAAAGGTTTCCAAGTGGTGACCTCCATGTATGGAATCATCTCCTTTGGTTTTTATGGATTACTCCTCTCACTGCATGTGTTGGTCCAAAGCTTCTTTGCTTATGTTGAGCACAAGCGAATGAGAGCCCGCACAGACCCATGCACCTTTACCAAAAGCATCGGGTTCACTATATCAGCTTACGAGGAGGATCCTGTCTATCTCAGAGAGTGTCTCAACTCCATCAGGGCCCTCAACTATCCACCTGAGCTGCTGCGGATCATCATGGTGGTAGATGGGAACTCAAATGATGACCGCTATATGATGAACATGTTCAGAGAGGTGTTTGCAGACCAGGATCCTGGCTGTTATGTGTGGAAGAACAATTACCATACATGGGACCCCACCCAGGCCATGCAGGATGTGGAAATGGCTGCAGCAATCGGCTCGTGTGGGGATGCTGACAATGTTGTAAGAGTGGATCCACAGCAAAAAGAGGTAGAACATCTGATCCAGAGCAAGAGGTGTGTGTGCATCATGCAGAAGTGGGGCGGCAAACGGGAGGTGATGTACACAGCATTTAAAGCACTCGGGTCATCAGTTGACTATATACAGGTATTTATTTTTATTTTCTCATCTACAACAGTTAAGGTCATTTTATGAAGAGAAAATGAAAGTCTACAGTTTTAATTACATGATTCTCTTTCCCCTCCAGGTCTGTGACTCTGACACTAAACTGGACCCTCTGGCCACACTGGAGCTCTGTAAGGTGCTGGAGAGTAACCCCAAGTACGGTGCTGTGGGAGGGGATGTGATGATCCTTAACCTGAAAGACTCTTACATCAGCTTCATGAGCAGTCTTAGGTACTGGATGGCTTTCAACATTGAAAGGTCCTGCCAGTCCTTCTTCAACTGTGTGTCCTGCATAAGTGGTCCTTTGGGTATGTAAACAATTCAAACATGCCCAGCAATGGTAGTCCCGGTTTTACTGCAGAGTTTTAACTCAGTGTAACTAATATTTCTTTTGTTTGATGAAGGACTGTACAGGAATGACCTCCTCCAGCAGTTTCTGGAGTCCTGGTACAATCAGATGTTTCTGGGGACTCACTGCACATTTGGCGACGACAGACATCTCACCAACCGTATGCTGAGCATGGGTTACGCCACAAAGTAAGAAACTT